TTAGTTCAGCAGTTCACAGGAGGTTCTGAAGTTGAGCCAATATGGTCTCTTGGTTCTTTAAATGATAAGTTAGGATAAACAGATCATACCAATTGGGCAATGAGTGCAAGTCTATATCAATAGCAAATTCCTCATCAATGTTCACATTAAACTTTATCAAGCGCTCCACGTATCTTTGCATTCTTTGCACGTGGCTGCTAACGAACTCTCCGACTTTCATCTTGCTAGTGATGAGGGACTTTACTACCTCATACTTTTCTTGACGAGCTCGTTGTTGGTACTTTTCCACCAAGTCCTTGTTCATCTCGTATGGCCAGTAATCATCATAGAACTTTTGTAGCTCAGGATTCATAGTAGCCACCATGATGCATGCCACTTTGGTTGCATCATTTTAGTGCTTCCTATACTCAACTAGTTCTTCAGCAGTAGCTTTGGCTTCATCGATCTCGAGAAGTTCTTTTTCAAGCACATACTCCTTGTCCTCGAAACGGAGATCCGTATTGATGTTTCACATCCAATCATTATAATTGGTGCCATCAAAAGTAACCCTCGAGAAGACGTTCAAGAGTGAGAAGTTGTAGGAGGTGTTGTTGTTAGAGGAGGAACCAGAAGCATCGTTGGGAGTTGACATCTGAAAAAGAAGAAGGACAAGTTTTAGGTTAGATAGAAGTAATCCTTAATATAACACCCAAATGAAATATTAAGGCTAGGATCCAACTAGATATTTCACAACTTAGAAAACAGATGTTGTAATCTAATTGTGAAATAAATAAAGGTAGGTAAATAACGATTTATCAATTTCACCACGAAAATGGAATTTTAAACGAATTAGGTTTTAAAAGAAATTCCTAGATCTTTTGAGATTCATTAAACGATTCAATGGCATGTTTAATCTCGATTATGCTCTTCCATTTGCGACTGGGATAATGAGGATCACAAACAAGATGTGAATAACCATGCAAATTAGCTTGGTACTCTCGATGTCATTTATCATCTAATCAATGTGCCGGTTAGCCACACACGCTCCATTAATCAATGATAATTTACGAGACACCCATTTCTACCCTTTATTAGTCCATATTAATGTGTCGGCTAACCACACATGCTCCACTAAAGACTTATATAAAGTGCAATATGCAATTTCATGGATTAGCATCAAATTCATATTTTTCCTAAAGTAACTAAGATTAGGAATTTAATAAAATATTTTAGTTACTTTATAATTTCATTATACTTATTAATGAGAATTATTTGTCCTATCAAACCTATTCGGCTAACGACCCTCCACCAATCAAGGGAGCGGTGGGTAAGAGTGGATACCCAATGGTGGTCATTTTATAGGCCGCTTCCTTAAATTCCTCTTATAGATCGGCTTCGTGAATGAGGCGTAGTAGCGGTTCGACTGACTTGTCTTATATACATAGTAAATATTAAACATTTAATTTTGCATATAGTATAAGGTGTATTTTAAACTTTTACAAAATACTAGGGTTTTATAATCTTTTAAATTTCGAAACTAAAACAATTTAATTTAAATTTAAAAGAAATTGATATAATAATTATCTATTAATTAAACATTTAATTAATTTATTAAGCCAACTGAGGATTATCCAATTAAATTAATCAAAATAATTTAACCTAATCCTCTCCCCTAATTTTCAAAAACATCGGAGGGATATTCAAAATTGATAATTATCCAAATAATCGCATAAAGAGATAATTACAAAAAATAAGAAAACCCTATCATGAAACTCTAATTTTCGAAAATTACAAATATTGGGGAGGAAGGCAAGGATTTCAATCGTTTCCATATTTTCAAAAATCTAGAGGGTTAGGAAACCCTAATTTTTGAAACTTGTAGGACAATGGAAAGGGTAAAAACCCTTTTCCAAAATTTTCGAAATCTAGGGTTAAGAAACCTTAATTTGCGAAAAACCTAAGTCCAAAGGGTTTATTTGCCATAAACCCTAATTGATCAAAGTCAACCAATTACAATCAAATTCAATAGAAAACAAGCCAAGACTCTAATACCACTGATGGGTTTTGAGCGTAACAAACAATCCCTATGTGTGCATGCAATCCTAATTGCTTTGGATCTATGTTTTCTCTAATTAAACATACAAGTATTGAACATCAAAAGGAAAAACCTAAGAGGCATATGCTATTTTCAAAATTCATAGAACTAGGGTTAGAATACATACCTTAATTGTTATATTGTAATAACAATGAATTCCTTGAAGATCTTGAACTTTGAGAGCAAGTGTCACAAATGTCACACCTCTAGTAGATCACACCCAAAACTTAGCAAGAGGATGAAAGAGGAGAGAGAGGGGAGAAGCTCTTAGAAATTCGGTTATCCTTCTATGGATGTGGTAGTCGAAATTGTGAAGGGGTGAAGCCCTTTATATAGTGAGGTAGCTTAGAGCCAAAGTTAGGGTTTTAGGAAGAAACCCTAATTCCCTTAGCTTAAGGACTAAGCAGCCAAAAAACTCCCATCCAATAGGCCTTGGACGAAAATTCTAGGGTCTTCCTAGAATTTTTCGTCCAACCCTTCTAGGAGGTTCTAGAGCCCAATTCCTTAACTATCAATAAATTTTCAAACAGCCCCTGCACTTTTAATTAATACAATTAATCCCAAAAACTAATTCTAATTAATTTATGATTAACTATTAATTAAATAATATGATTTCTAATTAATATATTATTTTCATAATACATTAATAAATCATTTATTTCAGTTTATTATTCAAAATAATAAATTCAACTTATCTCCAAAAGTCATCATGTCTAGTTGTTAGTTATGAGGGCAACCTAAAAGGATTGTGCTACTATCAATTCAAGTATATATCAATTATAGTTATGGGCTTAGACACCTAACCAACAGTCTCCCATTTGGATAAGTCTAATAACTATAGCTTCCAATATAACTTCAAAAGCTGATCAACAAATTGTAGCTCTCAAAGCCGCTGTTGAACTCTGACCTAGTCAGTTATGTGTCCTAAGATAAATGATCATATAATCATCCGTTCTGCAAGATATCATGTGGACAAACGACATGGAACAAAATCAATCTCATTGTCCAATACTTTGTTTTCCGATTTCCGATTTGTAATGACAAAGAACTACTAATTGAACACATCAATTTAGTCCTGGTCGGGCCCGACACTATAAGTCAACACCAAATCATCGAGGGGCCCAAGATATCGCTTTTTCCGTTAGGGCAAAAGGAACAGATAAATCTTGACTTATATGCTTGTGATATTTACTTATCAAATCACACACAACAATACGTTTTATAACATCAAGTTACTGATGCGTTCACGTATCATCAATGCACAACCAAAGCAACCAGGCAAACGAGGTCGTGGTGGCCAAAAGCACCAACAACCTCAAACAAATCATTAATAACTGTCCCATGTAGGATGCCGTGAGCAAAACCTAAAGAAATCGATCATAAAAAATTGAATGTGTACAAAAACAATAAAAACTTATTTTGCAACAAAAAACATTAAGGGTTGAATGTGTACAAACTGATAAATATATTATCTTATTAAGTCATTTTTCCAGATTTACCTGGAGTTGCCGTTTATAAAAACTTAATGTGTAAAAAAAAAAGTGTTAAATAGTCAGTGGGAAAAAAAAATCGGTGACTATTTAAAAAAAGTAAAAACTACATTAAGTTATTTTTTTCTATTAATAAACATATACTAAATATTTAAATGAAAAAAAAAACATAGATCTCATTATTTAATTGAGGCTTCCACCTTGGAGGCTTGGACTGGGGATGAAGACAGAGTCGCACACTATATTAAATTGGTTATTTTTGTCGCTTACTACCTTAGATTATTGACACCTCGTGCATTTTGTCATCAGAATAATATATATGGGCCCAACCGCCCAAGTTTATATTATTATACATATAATACATATTAGTATTAACATATCAATTAGTATTAGACTATTAGAGTTAACATCAAATAATATCTTCTTTGAGATTTACATATATGAGTAAATCCTGATTAAAAAGTTTACCTTAAAAATAGACTTTAAAAGATTTACACATTTTATGACTAAAGAAAAAGCCAAATAGCAATAAATGAATTCCCTAGAAACATTTTTACTGCCCATTATATAACCAATTATAAACTAATCATGTTTTTAAATGTTTATTTTGAATTTACGTTTTATTAAAAAATTAACATTAATTCTTTATATTCATTATCTCTACGTAAAACTTGTCCTAAACATATGATAATTTTTTAGTATTAGTTTGATATCTAAAAGAAATAATACTCCATCTAATTATCTATCTTTAAACGCGTTCTAATCAAAATTACCCATCTATTCTCAAATGATTAAAACTATTATTATTCTAGAAAAACTCATAATTAAGCGATCGTGGCAATGATCGGTATCTAAAACGCACACAAATTGATATTGAAGTTTCCTCGTTATTTACAATAACATGATTAAGTACTTAAACATTTAATAACCCACTTCGAATATAACTTTTTTTAGAATGGCGAGAATATAATAGTCGGTCAAAATGTTGTAAAACTTTATTATGTACATTTTGTTTTTATCCTTTGTTATTGAAGGATAGATTTAAACAAAATATAAAGACAGATAAGATGTCCACTTATAATGCATGTAATAAAATGTTATTGCAAATAATTGTGTTGCTCTATAAAGTATATGAGAATGATTAGAAGTGAAACTTAAATTCATTTTAAATAGTTGGGTATTGGGGTATAGATTAGAAGTGAAACTTAAATCTAATGGCAAAAATGTAAAATCCAAGAAATTTGCAAAAGTAGGGCTGGGACATTATTGTGATTTCACTCCACGTTCAGGCTCTAATATTCTAACACTCCATCTCCACGCCCACAGGCTACTATTATTAGTACGGTGTCCTTCCTTCTTCTTCTGTATATAAACACTCCGCCATAATCAATCACCCCAGAATATCTCTCTACAGATTTCAAAACTTCTACATCGCCATGGGAAACAGTCTAAGGTGTTGCTTATCATGTTTAATTCCTTGTGGAGCTCTGGATTTGATCAGAATTGTTCATTTAAATGGTTACATTGAAGAAATTACACGCCCTATCACCGCCGGCGAGTTTCTCAGCAATCACCCTAATTACGTTCTGAGTAAACCGTCGTCACAGGGCGTAGCCCGCCGGATTCTTATATTATCGAGTAGTTCCGAGCTGAAGAGAGGTTGTATTTACTTTCTGATTCCTTCTTCTTCGGTTCCTGAAAATAAGAGGAAACCTCAGCGGAAGAATTGTGAGAAGGCGGCGATTGGTGATGCCGTGTCTGTCTCCGTTTCTATTGATTTGAAATTATCTGGTAGTGTTGTGGCGGAGAAGAAGGCAGGGAGGCGGAGAGTTCGTCGGAGTGTTGACGGTGGAGATTGGCGGCCTCATCTTGACAGCATCTTTGAAGAACAATAACTATTTGAAAATTATTGATTTTTTTTTCTTTCTCGATAGATATATAAAATTTATTCTTATTTCGTAAAACTGTAAATTCGTCTATGTGTATCTTATATACAAAGCAATATAATTTTTTTGGGTGTTTGGGATTGCTTAACTAAAAGAGTTTATTGTTTTGAATTAAAAAAATAGGAAACTAAGTAATCTAATTACTTTTTAGTGAATTTTCAAAAAAGTAACCAATTAGATTTTTATTTTGAAAAATATCAATCGGAATAACATTCCAGATACGAATACCGAAATAGATAAACGAGTAAAATGATCTGACCCAGTAACGTGGCCTTTTATATATAGCATGTCGGACCCTATGTTCAAAATTTGTTTGAGACTTCATTTCAAACTCACTATTCCAGACTACATCAAATTTAAAGAATGTTTTGGACTTCATTTCGAACTCACTGTTCCAGGCTGCATCAAATTCAAAAAATGTTTTATTTTAACAATGAAGATATTCACTTTTTGTATGTATGTGTCGCTTCTTTTTATAATTATATATTTTTAACCCAATTTTACCACTTCAGAATGACCGTGTATTCTAGAGTAAGGTTCGGAATACACTTGTGTAGTCCGGAATGTACAGATGTCAAATTCCGGATTCGGAACCTAACAACCACCAACAACCCCCGAATGGTCATAAATACTCCGGAATACCACATTCCAAAGTAAGTTATTATTTTACAAATTGAGGCAGTATAATTTCGTTTTTTGTAGCAGATATATTTCGCGGATTAAGTTATGTATGCTATATTTTATATGATTTGTCAGGGGTTAAATCAAGAAAATACTATTATTTTTCACTTGTTTTTATTTTTAATAATAGGATTGTGTCGATTTCTTTTAGATTTCTAACGAATTGAACGAATACGAGTAAAAGATTATTCATATACATTGGTTTAAGCTATCGTCGTCTACTAAAAGAAACTAGAAAATATCATGTAATCTTTTATTTTGTAGTTTTGATATGTCATTTATAATTTTTAGCAGGGCAAATTGTTTCAAGCTTGTCTTTTGAGGAGTTGCTTGTTCTAATATAAAATCTTTTCTCAACACATTTCATTCCCAATCAATGACACATTTGTTATAATGCCTGAAATATCCCTCAAAAGTACAGACATTTCATTCCCAATCAACGACACACTTGTTATAATGCCCGAAATATCCCTCAAATTACAGTCAAGTGTAAATTTAATGTATTTTTTTTATATATATATACAAGTGCAACAACTAAATTTTTTTATGCTATGTGACATTAGATTTTGGGAAAGTTGTAGCTTATGTTTGTGGGTTGAGAGTTCAATGAATGGTAATGAATGGGCAATCTTCACTAAGTAGTTTTAGTTTCTTCGTAATCAGAAAAATAAAATCACATAATTATACTATTTAGGTTACCGTGGGTCAATATTATCGTTACTAGATTAAGTTTTATCAGAACATGATCTGCCTTCAAAATGTTCCCTCGGTACCTCGTGTGGACTTATGTTTGAATCATCAATCCACATTTATATTCTTCATTGGGGATGTGGATGAGGATGATGATTGAAATGAGGATTCAGTGATGAGGATGAGACTGAGGTCCCTGCTATTCCCCGACTCCGTTTCCATTTCTGTACGTATGTAACAAATCGGTTAATACAACATTAGACAACATGATTAACAAGAAACTATTGCAATGTATTCGAATGCATACTCGTAACAACAACAAAAATATTAGACATCATTCCCATCAATTATTGATAACAATGTTCGATCCAATGCATTGAAAAGACATACATATCTAATTAACCTGTAACATTGACATGGAAGCCATCAAGTTAACCAACCCATAAAATTTGATATCATAGGTTAAATCTAAAGGATACTAAGAACTGATTGCCTTTCTCATTGATACATGAAACAATATATATAGGTACCATACATAATAAACCTACCTTAAATATAATGCATAATAAATGAAACTATATACAACAATAATATAAAATATATTGCCTAATACTCCCCGGCAGTTGGAGTAGGAAGTGGTCGAATACTCAAACTGGATTTGAAACGGTGGAAGAGTTGTCGAGGAAGACCCTTAGTGAATATGTTAGCATATTGATGATCCGGAGACGAACCTCCTCCACCGAAGGGTGCTCTTCATCCTATCTACACCGTTACAAATATTCAAAACAAAGTTAGAGTTCTGGATGGTATTAAAGTCACATATTCTTCATGAGCCAGACTTTTTAAACTTCATGCTCTGATACTATAAAGGATACCAAGAATTGATTGCATTTCTCATTGATCCATGAAACAATATATAGGTACAATACATAATAAATCTACCTTAAATAAAATGGATAATACATGAAAGTATGAAACTATATACAACAATAACATAAAATATATCGTCTAATAAAATCTACATCGTAACATATGTAAATTTGGCATCATATATTGCATAACACCGTTGATTCGTTCCCACTGCCATCGACTACAAACATGGACTCTAGAAAATTGATTATATGAACTCATTTTGAATATACAATGGTATATTGAGATTAAGTAAAATCCTAAACCAATACAAAGACCAAACTAAATCGTTCAATACTTCAATTCATGTGTTCGGAATATCACTCCATAATTAATGCCCGTATGGGATGTAAGAGAATTTAAGCTGGAATGTACCTTTAGTCCCAAATGTTAGATTTTTGTTTATGTCGCTTCTCACCGGTGTGGTAAGAGGCACAAAATGGATAATCGAACACAAAATTGGATAACCCGGAACATATTTGTTCCGGATTAAATAATGATTTTTTCAATTTTTAGAAAATCTTTTTGTAAATATCCGATAAAGAAAAACTTATATGGGTTGCCATAAACGTGGGCAGACGATTGTTTTAGAATATAGCCATGTATCTAGAAAAAATAAAACTAATCAACCCACTTTAACAAATAAATTAACAAACTATCCATTTTATTTGGCAAAAAGTAGATATGGTAAAATGAACGTATTAAATCGGTATATTCTTTCGGCATGATTTGAAATACTTATTGTCTATAAATAGTTAAGAATACGATAAAAGATGATATTTGTTATTATAATAATAATTCTTTTTTACTAAAATGGTTTTACCTTTTTAGACATGAAAATAAATTTTGAATATTTCATCCATTCTTTTAATTATTGTTAAAAGAACTATTATGTTACTGGTAAAATATAATTAAACCAACATATTTATGGATTAATGAAAAGAAATAGACAACGGTAAGGCATTAACGCTATATGGCGCACCCCAACTAACTTATAACTTAACTTATTTTTTCGAAGTTCTTTTGTATTATAACTTTTGACAAACTAAAAGAAAAATGATAAACTAATTTATAAATTTTTATTTTTTTAAAACTACTCAGAGTAGTTTTTCAACTAGTTTATATAGAGCTCTTTTTTAATTCTTAGCATATACCATTAACCATTTATAATTAATAATAATTATATTTTTCTATATACCCTTATATATCATTTTACACTTTCTAGTTAACTTAGTTTCTACTAAACATTATTTTTAATCAACTAGCTTATCAACTACCAACAAGTCTTTTAGCTACCAACTAGCTTTTCGGCTAATATATCAAATATAACCTAAAAATCAATATAAAAATAAATCTATCATGTTGGTTAGATTAGTTTTGTTGCAATTCATATCGATAGAAAATATATGAATCAAATTAGAAAATCGTTTCATGCCAGAACTAGGTTGCTTTGTTAGAAAAGATACCAAATAATTGATTCAAAATTATTTGATTCGGTTTTAAAGCTTGATAGCTCGATATTATAATTGTCCCTACTTTCAACACTTATCTAGTGGATACCGATGGTTTGATACTTCAATAATATAGTGCATGTACTAATTTACCGAATCTATCACCCTATTGACCTTACATATCAATCTCTCTTTTGTTTTTATAATATCTCATAAACATGTCTTGTTATCGAATATGCTTTAGTTCGAAGTTGCTTTATCATATTTTATTTTCATTAAGCATCAATGAAATTTTAGTCGAAACTACAGAAATGCAATTTATTAATATTTGTGGATAAGCTCGAGCCAAACTTCTTGTATTTACCAAAGTTTAAATAGATATATAAGCGCTAATTGAGCTTGTTTTATCCAACATGTTAGGTAGATGTCTTTGAGTTGTTTAGGGCTCGAAATTTATGAATGAAAATCGAGCTTATAAGTGAAAAAACATCAAGTTCAAGTTCAATCTATCATTTCAAGTCGAGCTTCTATTGACATGTTTACAACCCTGTATTATTATTATTTTTTTTACCTTTGTGTGTATATATATATATATATATATATATATATATATATATATATATATATATATATATATATATATATATATATATATGGAAAAGTGAAAATGTGACTGTTATGTACTTATGCTTAGGTATAAAACCTTTAAAACAACGTAGTTTTAATCAAAACAAATCCAATTTGATTTTCTCTTTATTTTGTTTTAATAGAATACCATTGAATTAAGTTCAATTATGGAATGAAAAAGATCAACTATATATATTTTTATTGCAAATAATTATTGAAGTTTATAAACAAAATAAAAAACAACTCAAGCATTTTGCCTTTCAATTGAAAAACTATATCCAATGATTTTGTGAAAAGCTTGATTGAGCTATGATATGTTCATTTTTTATATTTTATTCTATTAGTTTTCATTTAGAATTTAGTATGGTTGATTAAATGGTCACAACTTTTAATGTTTTAAGTTCTTAGACACAATGAAGAAAAAGAACATAAATTTGATCGATTTAGTAAGTCACATGATTAAGGAGGAATAGTAAAAAAGATATCATGATTAGTTTGAATATAAATAGATCAAAACTATATTGTTTGGAAGGTTCTATATATAAGGTTAGGTACATGACAGCCACATATTCTTTAAGCTCATATATATAT